TCTGTATGAAAAAAAATATGGGTTCATTTTCAATCACATGTTAACTTGCTTTAGAAGTTTTGTTTGACGTTACTTCACTCGATAGCTAATGCGCAAATTTGGCGAGCAGTGCGAGTGCATTAGGCTATCCTCATTGCTGCATTTCCTATGGGATTCTACTGATGCTGGATGTCCTCAGCAAGCAGGAAGTGCCTCTGGGTGCTGTCTGATTGATGTATTAATATATAAAAAATATCAATATATCAAAAAATATTAAAACATTTTCAAAATATTAACTTAAAGTATTAACTTACTTCATAGGTTTACCCCAAAATATTAAATCGCTTGAAAAGTTTGTTGAAACTATTAAATCGAGGTCCTAATGTGTAGCAAAATGAATTCTACTAAACACCTTCATTAAACTCGTCATCGTGTCTGACGAACCTCCAAGGAAGGCAGCACTGCTACAACAACCAATTTGTGGTGGGAATTTAACTGGGATCTAATTAACATGATACAATTTTTCCATCTAGGGTCCTAACACAGGGTTTGAGGATAACTTGAAATACATGAAAAGCACTCTTCAACTCTTGGAGAAAATGTTCACTCAACAAGACAAAAAACACTTTTACGTTAGAGCTTGAACCTATTTATTCTTGTTAACATCTTATGCATCAAAGTCTGAGCTTCTGCTGCCATCCCATCCCCATAGTTGACATTGAGAGATGTAGAAGTGTGAGGTGATAAATGCCCATTATTTATAGGGAGTGTCGTATGATAATCGAGCAACTTATAAGTAGTTATTTACTTTAACCTTTCTTAGCAAAGGTTCTATGCTATTAGGTGTACTCCTGTGGTAAGAGGGGTAAAGTGGAGAACATTATGGAACCTTGTTCTAGTCTGAAGCAGTTTCTGGATTACATTATTTTACAATAAAATCATTCACAGTTGAGCATCGTGGCTACTTTTAAATTAATTTTGCCTTAATTTTTTTTTCTACATGGGGATAGAGGATAAAACCACTCTGGTCCACATATACCACAGCAACTGCCAGTTAAAGGGACACTATAGTCACCATAACAACTTTAGCTTAACTAAGAAGTTTTGTTGTATAGATCATGCCCCTGCACTCTCAAGAAGTCTCATAATTCAAGAATAATGTGTTATTTGCACATATTTCTGGCAAAATAAGGGTTAAAGGAAATTGTAGGTTATTCTTCCACTACCAAAACTATTTTTATGTCCAAAACAACTGGAGGACTGTGTAATTCATCATATAAGCCATTACATTGATGGATTGAGAAATTACCAAATGTCCTTTGGAGCACATAACATGCTGTTCCGTATTTGAAAATCATCACTCATGTGTATCTTGCCACTTCACCAAGAGAAATGATACAGAACGTCATTTCTTATTTATTCCTCAAACCGTCACGGGACAGCAAAGCTAATAATGAACACTTTCGAGAGCTAGTGGAACAGTGTGTGCAAGAACATGCATAGCCATTCAAATACATCACTATTACAGGCCAGAACACTTATTATATAAAAGTCACTTCATGTTTAGTGGAAATAAATAGACAACAGAAGAAAGCTAGCTTGTTCGAAATCTGTTTCCACTCTAGTGCTTTTTATTTACCTTACTTTAATTTTGTCGAGTTGTGAACATAACCTGAAAAGAATGATCAGAGTTTTAAGGTTTATTTACAGCCTTGTCGGTAAATAGCTGTCGCTATTACAACAGCCGGTACCTTCTAGATTCTACAAATTAACATCAAGTTTAGAAAATTGTTGCTTTTTTCTGCCTAACTTTTTGTGCCTACCATTAATAATGGCTGCTCATACAAACACCAACAATTCATGTGACAGCGGCTTGCTGGTGAAATACACACCTGACCATGCACACGTAAACCTGTGTGGTCAGTTAAAACAGGCAAGTAGTGGCCTATCGGTAATACTTAGCAAAAGGATTGGAACTTTAAATAAGATGTAAAAAGAGGAATCTAGCAGTTACTAAACTATTTTTTGGATAGCGGTGCATGGGATAGCACAGAATTAAAAACCAGTCAGAAAGTAGTTGCTGAATAAAAAATAATGGACTGTTAACCTTTACATAGCGACTGGCTTTCAGTAGAGGCCACTGGTGAGTGTATGTCACTACTGATAACATTTTTTAGTGGGTAACCAGCCACGACTCACTAACAGTATTGACTGACAGTATTGGCTGGCAGGTAAAAAGTAGTAACAAGTTGTAAAGAAGCCCTTACTCTGGTAACAACGTTAGTTTTTTTTAGTTGTAAGAACTAGCTGCTTGAAACTATGCAACAAATAAAAATTCGAATAGGCAGGCCAAAGTTGGTAAATGCTTTATAATTGCTTTAGAGGTCTGAACGTGGCCAAGTGAAGTGAAATAAACGGAACTGTGGCCTCTTACCTAGCGCAGGTAATGTATTGCTCTCATACTTGAGTTACCCATTAGATAAAGACACTATGTCCTTGACTTAATAAGCCCTAATAAGTGATTCAATACTGAAAAAACTATTTATCTACAGAACTCACCATTAAAGTATATGGGAATTTTTGTGGATAAATCATTTGGAAAGTATTGAATCATTTGGAAAGCTTATTAAATCGAGGCCTACGAGGTTAATTCACTAAAATGGGAACTGCAGAGTATTGAAAATGGAATTGCAAATTTTTTAAAAAATAGCTGAGTAAGACCGTTTTTCTTATTTTGCTTTTTTTGACCTAAGATATGTAATCCTCTCGTTAATTCTCGTGAACTCCCAGTTAAATAAATAAACCCTAAAGGGACCAAAAAGCCATTTTCAGATGTGCAATAGTGTATTATTTTCTATTTATACGCTGTTACGGCTCAGAAAGAAGTAAAACATTGCACGTACTGAGGCTTTTCTCACCTGATGTGTACTTTCTCAATATGGATTTTTTAATTAAATAAGGATTTGGTGCATTGATCTTGTTACAAACTGATTTCATTCCTTGACTTTGGTATGAGACTTACCTTTTTTTATTATTTTGAAAAATGTCATGTAGACTTAGTCCTTAATACAAAAGTAAATATACAATATGTGCCACCTTTAAAATAAATGTAATATAAAACAAAAAATACAAATCAAAAGTATTAGCAATAATTCTATTCTTTGGCTTTTGGGCCGTGAGAATTAATACCACGGTGATCACTCGTTGCTATCATAAATCACTGGTCTGTGGTATCTTTTATAACTGAGATAAGGAAAACATTTGCAGCCAGATTTTCCAGATGTACTATTTAAACAGTAACAAATCCTCAAAGTGCTTCTGAGATACCGGTCCGTGGCTACGCACCCCACATGCAGGAAACTGTGTTCTGACACCTTTCATGGCCAGCATTACGTTTTCAGCAATTCGAGCTACAGTAGCTCTTCTGTGTGATTGGACCAGACAGGCTAGCTTTCACCCCCCACGTGCATCAGTGAGCTTTGGGTGCCCACTACCCTGATGCTGGTTAACCTGTTGTCCTGCCTTGCACCACTTTTGGTAGGTACTAACCACTGCATACTGTGAACAATCAACAAGACTTGCTGTTTTTGAGATATTCTGATCCAGCCAACAAGCCACCGCTATTTGGACCTTGCCAAGCTCACTCAGATCCGCTTGCCCATTTTTCCTGCTTCCAAGACATGAAATCCAAGAACTGACTGTTCTCTTGCTGTCTGATATATCCCACCCATTGGCAGGTGCCATTGTAACGATATAATCACAGTGTTATTCACTTCACCTGTCAGTGGTTTGAATGTTGTGGCTGATCAGTGTATAGTTGCAGTCTTCAGGATTCTTGGGCACCATGAGTATGTAGTGTCACTTTTGATGTGGTTCAAATCCTCAAAAGCTGCATGATTGGGATCCTGCAACACTTTTGTCAAAACCTGTGTCTTTCATTGATGCTATTAAGGGCGTGCAAGCCCAAAATTACACAATTTGTAGCAGACATTAGAGGAGTGGCGCTGTGCGTTCCATAGCCATATAATAAGGCACCTCTAACCAACTCAGCTGTACGGTGCTCCTGCAGTCAGGTACTTGTGGATGTGCTGCATATTCCCTGTTCCTGTATCCAATTATTGCATTCCATTTCCTGTTGTTTATGAACCTTTGCTATAACTTATACCTGTATTTGACTATGATTCCTGGATTTCCCCTGTCCGTGCTTATTGATGTAACTACTGCATATTGGGCTCTCTCTCTACAAACCGTGACTGACAAAGAGTTATTCAATTCTATTCCATTTACACAATTCTATTACATTACAATTTTGTGAATCTGCAACTAACATAAGCAAGATATTTGTAAATGTTTGTCACAGTTACTGTATGTGACAAAAATGATTTTATTTTTAATTATCCCTAAATGCCAATACATCGGAACCAACTGGACATTAATATAAGGTGCAGTTTTATATTTGAATACTTTTCAAATCTTCATATTTTGCATGAATCGTATTGTTTCATCGAAAAATCAAATAGTTAACAGAGGCTATGCTTGTACGTGTATGTAATATAAGACTAAAACACATAGAAACATTGACTAAAACATAGTAATGATTTTTAACTGTTGTTAGGATTTATTTTTTTTAAATGAGAATCTATATCTCTTTATGAAATATACATGTAAATGTTGTCTTCCATTGAGACTAAATAAATGAATTTAAAAAAACATGAGACAATTTATTTTGTGCATCAATTATGGATTCAGCCGCAAACATTGTTTATTGACAAGTATTAATATTTTACTGGACGTCATGGCATTTGTGTTACTAAATATTTTGTGTGTGAAATGGAACTTGACATTTTATTTGCACACATGCAATTTTATATCGTGAAATAAAATAAAGCAGGTAAGATCAAAATAAAGCAATAGACGTGATGTTTTAAAAGATGGTTTTGGAAACTTGTTTTTTTAAACAATTTTTTATTTAATTTGAAAATAGAAGCATTTTAAATAACCAATGTTATATTTAGAAAGGCAGCCAATAAAATGTATCTCGTTGTAATTACAAGAACATTACTCCATATTTACATATTACATTTACATATAATCTATCATTTTAGAAAAAAGTTTTTCTGTGATATTTATCATTTCTACCCAACAAAAGCACCTGTTCAACAAGATTTCCATACGACTTTCACATAGATTGGATTAGTAATAAACACGTCCATCTTTTTCTTGGGAAAACATTTTATGATTGTGAGAACTCCTATTAAAGATCTGTAAAATCTTCCACAGAAAGTGAAAAATGTTAATAAAAATAAACATTTGTTTTCAAACATAGGCAGATTTTCTTCACTTTCTATTGGGTGGGAAAGTTGACAAAATAATGAATTAATAATTACTACAATAATATAATTCTTGCATATATAATATTTATCAACATTTTAATTATTACTTATGTAGCACCAACATATTTTGTAACACTTATAGAGCTTACGATCTATGAGGAGTTGAGGAAGGTGTGACAAATACTACTCTGGACTGGGAACATTGGGTTCAGGGGTTACTGTCAGTCTGTGAGTTGGCCATGTTGGGGCTGGCTATCCTGGATTTCCCGGACATCCTGTGCTTCCAATATGCACAGGGTGACTTAGACATAAGAGGATACAGGGAAGCATTGAAAGGGAACCATGAAGTTGCCATGGTCCCCCTCCTAAACTCAAACATACCCCCATATGTCCACATTTTCAGGAGGTTAACCTGACCAAACCACATATGAACAGTAACCCCAGAACCCAATGTTCCCAGCCCAGGGTATTTTTGTCACAGTACGCAAACGTATATCATTAGGTGTCTTGCTCCAAATGCACAGAGTGAACTTTTGACAATACTAACACAAACATAATCCCATTATTCAGATTTTCTGACAATATTTTTACTATAATAGGACTGGTAAAAACAGACCCCTTTACCTTTGTTTAACACTTTAGTTTTGGCATCATAGTCCTGTGAAGGAGGAGACAGCAAAACTGACATGGGACCACCAACAACATAGTGAATTCAACACCTCTAGAAGGAGGTTTAAAAATGCCAGAACCCCAAAATATTTCTATATTTTCTGCGCATGAACTGGATGAACATCACAAACACCTCCCTGACTTGATGACATATGCAAACAACGCCAATGATTCCTCGTTAATCAGTTATATCAAATAAAGTATGCAATGTATAAAATAAGTAGGCACATTAAATACAAGTATAACAAGCCAAATCAATAACATAATCAATATAGATGTCTCAAAGTTTGACATTGTAGTGGATCAAACCATCTTAATCATCAATAAACTATTGGCGGATCTCCTGAAGCTCATACTGTACTCAGGTGAGGCTCAAAACATCCATACTTAATGTCTTTTTGAGATTGAAATGTGTTTACTTTCTTCAAATAAGTCCCATGAGTTCCTCTGTCTTTGCTGCTTTGGGTCAGAAAAAACATGGAGTTACTTATCTATTCGCCATCCATGTTCACTTAAAGGTACACTCTTAGCACCAGAACCCTAAGAACCCCTCTAGTGGCTGTCACTCTCACAGTCAGTGGAGGTCATGCAAATTTTGCAGGACCATCATCCGGCAAATACTCTCCACAGAGATTTATTGGGGTAATCCATCTCTTTGAGGAGATGGATCCTTTCATATCATATCTCGACAGACTAACAGGGATTCGTGAAGACTAAACAAGCATCAGACAACGAGGAAATGGTGGAAAACTTAAGATTTAGTACAGAAACTGCATCCCAAATTTCAAGTGTCATCAATAATGTCAATGTCAATGTGTCAACATATTCAAAGATGATATCCTTATCACAATGTCAGACTCCAATATTTTACTTGTGATGTAAGGCTGACAATGCTGATAAGAATGCTGCACATAAAATGTTATATTAGGGTTTTTCACTAAACCAGAAATCATCATAAATTAACCATAGGATTTAAAACTCCACACTAATTATCTGAATTGTAAAAATTCTCAAACTTGGATATTTTTCCAGATCCACCGTCTTGGCCCTGGTTTTCAATTCTCCACATTTCAGTATTTTCTATAAAGAGCAATACTCAACAAACAAAATACTCCAACAAAATAATAGAATTTCCACTCCAATGATTTTATTCAAAAAAATCAAATTCTAGTTCTCTGTAACAAATAAGACACGAACAATAAAAAATAATGAACTGTGACACAAAACATTCTATTTGTCGCAGAACATGTATAGAATGTGACATGTAGCATATGGAGAAACGAGTCAGACCACGACAAGACATAGGACATGCAGCATATGGAGAAACAAGTCAGACCAGGACAAGATATAGGACATACAGCATACGGAGAAATGAGTCAGACCACGACAAGACATAGGACATAGGACAGCAGCACTTCAAATCAACAATAAAAATCCTATTTACCAGTCTTCTTATATGTTATTCGTTATTATTAAGAAATGAAAAACTGAAAAAAAAAAACTCAAAACACCTATAGACTCAAAAGGATGGACTTAATGGTCTTATTGGCTGGACGCGTTTTGCAATATAGGCACTTTCTCAATAGCGTGCGTTAAGCAAGATTCACCCCATTTGTCCAAGTATGGCCACTAGTAAGAAAACTCAAGAAAAAAGTGGGCTCCTTAACAGCTCATAGGGTCAGGATCCCTTAAATTGTCTAGCTTTTTTCTGGAGTGGAACCTGGGCTCTGCAGTAGCAGTAGAAGGTAAATTGGCTTTTGGCAATCCAATACATATAGTCTAAGCTATCAAGATATATTTGAGTTCAATCTTCCCATGCTATTTTTAAGTCTAGAGTAAGGCGCAATACATACATAAATAAACTTACAGACCTTTAATATTAAACATGCTGCACTATTGTGTATCTTTATTTGTCACAGGTAGCTCATACGGCTTGCTGGTTTTATTTAATTTTTGCTCTCTCTTTTTCATGATTTCTTTAAAATGTTTTTCCTCTTTCGTCTTCTTTTCTTGCTCTTCTACTTCCATGTTATATTCATCTTCCTCCGTTTTAATTTTTACCTCCTTCCTCCACTATGGAAAAACATATTGTAATATTATCATTAGCAAAGTAGAAACAAGCTTTTACTTGAAAACTTAGTGTAATAACTACAAACAAGAAACACAGAGCTTTTAACAAATACGGACTCAAAACCCCCCAAAAAAGAACTTCTGTTAATGGAGCCCAGTTCTGTGTTTACGTGGGTGATAATCACAGAGTGAGCCCTCCATAATATGAAAAGTAATTACATTGTGGCGGGGCACTCTCAAATTGAAAGAAGAAAGTATAACTATAAAAATATACTTTGAAAAAACTTACATTTTTTATTGCTTTGTTTTTTCAAGATTATGTATTATTGTATATTATAACAGGTTATTGTGCAAACTCTAAGTTAATATATATGTACACACACTTAAAAAATCTATATCAAAATATAACAAACATTCACATCCCCATGCACTATACAATGTTCTCCAATATAGCCATTAAATCAGATCAGATTACAGTGTAGTAGGATGGGGTATCGAGGAAGCATCACATGTTATAGCGTAGAGTGTCTGGCAGGTATAATACCTTTATCTAATTAAACGTGTGGTGTAAGAATGGTGTGTGGGAGACTTGTAGCGTGCCAGGTGAGAGAATGAAGTAGGCTGTGGAAGAACAAGTTATGTAAGGGGAACAAGGACAAGTGAATAGAGAGGTTACCCACAAAGATAATATTTCTTGAAGAATGGAGTTTTAAGGAATTTCTTATAGCACTGGACACTGTGGAAAAATCTGATATTATCACGTAGTGGGTTCCACAAAAAATGAGACTCATGTAAGAAGTCTTGTAGGTGAGAATAAGCCTTGTGAGTGGGAACAGGTCAAGAGCAGTGTATTAGCAGAAACTAGCAATCAGGAAGGAGAGTAGCTGTGAATTAGAGAGGAGATGTAACCAATCATATCATTGTTGAGGGCTTTGTAAGTGTCAGCAATCTGAATTATATCCTGAAGAAGATCATTTGTGCAACTGGATAGAATATATACTTTGGGTAGCACGTTATGAATGCAAATGTATCTGGCATTTGCACTCTGCAAAACAAGGTAAGTCAGTGTATCTTTCAGTCATCAATCAGTAGCCACCTACAAACATGTAAAGTACTGCAAGATGTTATTGTATCCATAAAGACAGCTCGGGGGGTAGGTGACATGTGTCATAGATTAACCCCTTTCTTATATTATCTAATGGTATCAATAAGATGAAACTATCATTAACCATCAAGCATGTAATGGGTGTTTGTCGAGTTCTAATAGGCATTTATCCTATTTCTTTATTTTAATCTTTTCTTCCCTTTCTGTCAGTATAACAAACCGCAACAGTCAACCATTCAGTATATTGATATGTTGTACATTATGCAGACAGAGACTATCCTTGCCTCAGCCCTAAAACAAGTCAAGAAACAAAAAATAATTTTTTTTAAATAAAACACTCAAGAAAATAGATTTCCTGGGAGTAAAATTTATTATTAGAACTGCTTAAAGGAATCTTAGAATCCCAAATGCGGCATAAGTGCTGGAAATGTTCAAAACCCTTAAATCCCACAAACCTAATATTTTAGGACAGATCCACTATAATATATGAAGCACGCAAAATATGGAGCATATTTCCCCTTTCTCACGTCTCCTCCAACATTGATCAGACAGAAATAATCAACGTGAACTAGACAAGCCGGAGTTATAAACTACGTCATAAGAACTTCTATGTGAATTCCCTGATAATTTGTACATTGAGAAACCTCATCCATTGACCTAATTGCTTCTCTTATTTTTTTTTGTTCCTTTAATTTAAACATTCATTTTCTCTCCAATCTAAGAAAATAGTCAAAAAGACCCCTATATCATCTCTCAAATAAGTTTTTATAACACAAGGAAATTAATTTGTGTTTTGAGCCTGCTTTGAGAAAGGATTTCCCAAAAAAGAAAGGACCATTAGCTGAAATCTGTCATTTTTGTTTCCTTGTCCGTATTTATTGATCACATGCTTTATTCCTGTAATATATAATGTTTCTTAGGGGATAACATAAATCTCTGATGAAGGTCATCAAAAGTGTTCAATTCACATTCAGCCAAAATGTTTGTTACACTCTGAATTCCATTCTGTAACCAATACTTTAACCTCAAATCCAGAGAAAAAGTCTTAGGTTACACAATGACATATCCTTAACCATTATATCAGGAAATAGTAAAGATTTAATAAAGCCATTCCATATTTTCATAGAATGTATAGGTACTGGGAGGGACTCACTGAAAGAAGGATGAAAGGATTTAGATAAGCATAAAACATCCTAACTATTACACTGTCTTAAATACATACTTTCCAATGGTGACCATATTGGTTAATTTAGGTTCTGCGCCGGTCTTGAAACCATATGTAATATATAGGAAGTCGCAATTAAATCCTACGAGATTTTTTTGTAGACAAATCATTTGAAAAGGTTTTCTAACAGTATTAACTCTATTGGAAATATCATTAATTCAAGGCCATTGTTTCGACAATTAGGTTTGGACAAAATTGTTCGATGTTGACTTTTTTTTATTTTTTTTGAAACTCAGAATCTAGTTTTCCTAACCTAACTAAGACTAATAAAAACACAGAGATGGTGCAAGCTTGTCGCTTGAACAATGAATGCAAAATGTTCACCAAGGCATTACCATAGCCAGGAAAAGCTGCTGGGAGCATTGGCCACATGGAAAATGACAGGCTCTTCCAACAGAGCTCATACTTGCACAGCAATCGTTCCTTCTGACCCTTGACTATATCATTGTTTGGATGATACATCCTACTCCATATGCGTCCAAATGATCAGCGCTGCAGTTTCCATACTATTTCACATTTATAATGTATGTTCTCACTAATTAGATTCTCAGGCTGTGTTAATGGCCAATGAATATGGGTTAATTCCAAGCTTCGTCTATCAAAAAAAATGAACCTCCAACAAAGGGCTTTCAAGGCCTCAGTCAAACACAATGAACATTACATTTCAATTATAGTTTTATACGTTTGCTTATTTTATTTTTAAGATAGGAGCCACAGTTAGCAGTAGCATATTATTTTGCACTTTGGAATAAAAATATATTAGTAACAATTATTTTTATAGCTACTAACTTTTAGTGTTGTGCTATAAACCCGACAAAGGGCATACACTTTAAATTGCATAAAATGTAATTATCATAAAGTTCCACTCCTAGTGCTAAATAAACTTAAACAAAATAACAATAATCCTAATTATACTAATACATAAAGTGTTTTCGCGGTTCCCATATCCTATAAAATAAAAAACATATCTATAATGCATACTGTTTATTATATATAAAAGTGATTCATTATTACAACCCCCCGCCCCCATTAGTACACTCACATGTACAAGAGTGTCATGCGGTATCTCTTCCGGGTTCGGCACTTCCGCTATGTGGAGCCGGCCCCGCCCCCTTCTGACGCGGCTCTGACAGTACTTAGGGAGACCGCGCCAGGGTGAAGGCTCTTGGTGATTGTGGGACCTACTTCCGGGTATACACGCCGGCTCCACAAGCTCTGACAAGCCGTCCCAGCCTTTGAGCCAATGCAAGGATTGCTGCAAGCCATAGAGGATTACTGGAGAACTGATACTTTGCTAATTTACAAGTGGACTATAACTCTGAACTCTTGGAGGACAACTCACCTTAAAGGACCACTATAGTGCCAGGAAAACATACTCGTTTTCCTGGCACTATAGTGCCCTGAGGGTGCCCCCCTCAGGGTCCCACTCCCGCCC